ATATATATAATGTATATGAAAATTGCGGCATCCCATTCATTTCGTTCATAGATTCATTCAAGGAAATGATATAAATGAAGGCGGTATTTTACGCTTTTCATATGATAAGCATGATGATGATAAGGAGTGTCATAATGATAACGATGAGGAGTTACTAATCTTAATATATTAATCCTCCTGCATATTCATCTGTAATCGTTCATTTATCATTCAAGACAGTAATAACTAATTTTGTGTTTTCCTCCTATGTGCTGTTTTGATTTGTTTGAATGCGCTTGTTATTGGATATGATCTAGGCTGTATTGCGTTACATCATTACTTCAACCGACATCATCTTTTAACTTCGTTTTAATTTCGTTTAGAATCTGCTTTTTTTCCAATTACCGAACTAAATGATGCGTAATTGAAAAGTTTTTACACGTTGTTGTTTTCTTCAGATTTCATTCGGATGATGGCGAATCTTTTGTTGTTGCTGCTATACACACACACCTCAGGTTTTGTTTTGCCCAGATTTCACATCGTGCAGTAGCAGATGGAGCAATAAACGAGATGATTTTGTAAAGTAAAAATAGAATATTTTCTTGTCACATTTATTACAAACAATCCACCAATAATCCATCGTCACATTCAGATAAATCATCTCTTGAGTTGAGGATGGTTGTGATATGGTAGCTGCTTATCGGTCGGTCATCTGAGAGACCAACTGACGAGCTCAGCATAACATATCTCAGGCCTAACCGATCAACCAATGTGCCTGTGAAAAGAAGGCATCACAATTTGCTGAAGTCGATTCGAGCAATTGAATAACTTGCCTTCATTTAAATGAGTAGTTGATTTCACTGATTGCATTCGGGGTGGCTGTTTGCGATGAACGAATGATGGTTGAGGTGAATGAGGGATGAGATTTCAAGAGTATGGCGCTCGCGCCTATACCGGCACATCGGAGATATGCTGCAGAAGTTTATTAAACGTTTCTGATGCGTTCTCAATGCATTATTCATTTGCGTTTTTATGATTAGTTTTTAATTGAATATTTCTGTGCAGATTGAAACGGTGTTGACGTTGCTTTGTTATCTCTTAACATAATCTGCGTATGCCAATGATTATTAGTTCGCTTGTTTTTTTTTTGAGTTACTACAATTTGAAACATATGAAATCTGAAGTATTCCTATGAAATGTCATTATTCATCATCATCATTATTATTTCGTAGCGATTAAAATGATGATGATGATAAAAACGTGTAATTTCAGCAGAAAAATATTTTCGATAGAATCGTTCCGAATTAAGTTTCTTCAGCGTTGACGCATTGATACGCCGCTTTATTTTGTGCAGTTCGTCGAGTCGTTCGGTTGTTTCATTAGCCGTTTGCATAGTAATAATTTGTCTTTGACAAAAAAAAACTCTTTTGCAGCCTCTGTGTTTAATTAATTCGGCCATCCATCCATTCAATCTTCAAAGCACTGATTATTCGTCGACCGCACGCTGCAGAAAGATCGTCCGTCGCCCTGATCATAAACTATGCACTTCGCGATCATCACGATACGATACTTTTGGGAAGAAGAAGAAGAATAAACGTGTACGTCCTAGCATCAAACAAAAAAAAACAAAACGAAACTAAGCATCTATTCATCTTCAAACGTTCCAAAATCGTCGTCCAATGATTTTGGCGATTGCGATTGCCGTTACTGTCGGTAAATTTTCAATTTTCAATTTCAGCAAAAAATTTCCTCTCCTCATTCAGTTTGTTTCACATGATCGCTTCATTCAGTAGCTATTTCACATAAACTTATGAACAAACGAATTTGCTGCTGTTGCTGCTGCTGTTGGTCATAGAAAGTGCGGAAAGAATACTGGTTGAGACCACAAAATTAGAGTCTAGAAAGCGTGATGAACTTAAACCAGTTTGAAAGCCTGAACTTATTCTACCAAATATTTTCGCATCAATGAAGCAAATTATTTTTGAATAGTCCGACAAGGTGTTTTGTTGCTCGGGATTTTTTTTGCTTTCGCTAAATTTGTTCCGTTGTAGTTTTATTTAAACACATTTTTATGTGTGTGTGCATAAATAATTACAAAAATGTTTCATTTTCAGTGTGTTTTTGTAGTGGATAGATTTTTATTGTTGTTGTTGTTGTTGTGAAGAAGAAAGTGAAATGGGTGAAAGTGAACGAGAATTGACACTGTTACACTTGCGGAAAACATTCAGCGAATATTGTCGTGTGCCGTTGACTGGTGCAGATGCGAACACCGATCGAAAGTTCGATCGTGTATTGCCACTGTTCTGCAAGGTTTGTATTTTAAGTTGATGGACGGATGAATGAAAGACTGGCTAAATCGTTTCGATTGAATCTTTATCATGCTCACTAGCCACTCATCGTTCAGATTTTCACTGAAGCGATAGAGAACGCTGTCGATAATCTCTTTACGTCATTCATTCTAGTCTCAAGTATAGATCAGAATTCGACACTAGTGCCAGCAGCAACAACAACAGAAGATGCGATGCTGCCACTTTGTTTCGGGCGAAATTTGATCAGTGAAGCAAATTAGTTTTGATGAGTTGAAAGTTATTTCAGGTGATGACAATGTATCCATGTGCAACCGATATAGTCGCACAATTCAAAGAGATCTGCTCGTTCAGCGGTCATCTGTGCCGTCATTTGGTGCAAGAGATGCGTGTTCGTGCCGCCGAGCTGAGCACCGATCATGCCGCATTACATATCGCCACATTCTTATCACCAGTTACGAATGATTCACGTGGCTGGCTACTTCTTCAATCTGCACACTATCTAGTTTCTACGTTAGTTCTTATTCACTTCTTTCTTTTCGTCATTTAATGAATTTATTCACTTCTGAGAACAATAATATCATGTTGTTACGCGGTGACACAGAAGAAGAAAACTTTTATACTAAATTCATTACGAGACTTCAATCAAATTATCCTATTCCATATTTGTTTTGATATTGTTGCCTGCCATTTTGTTAAGAAACGATTTTGTGCAGTAAAACAAAGTTCACAGCATTGATCATCATCCATTTATTAATCATCAAAGCGATTTCTGCTCAGCAGCAATGACATTAAAGGCAGTGTTGTTGGCTTTTGGAAGTTGTGTCCGTTTAAAAGCATCAAAATGTTCGTCTTTAAGGGGTCATTTGCCGGTGATAGATGCTGTTTGTAAGGCGTCATTACCGTCAACTCTAGTGAAAGCGTTGTATTTATTTTTTGATTTACCCTCCACATCCGACCAGAAAATAATCGAGCTTCGACGTATGGTTTTTAATCGTTTTCTCAAAGTGAGTATCTGTTTTTTTGCACTTTTATTTACTCGAATGTTCATTAATTTTTTCGGTTTTATTGTCAGCGAAGAAATTAACTTGAGTGAGGTGTAAATGTGGAGAAGAAAATTTACACATACACACATACTACATATTGTGTGCGAGAAAAGTGATTGCTTGATTGACAGATAAGTAATGTTTTGGACGAATTCAAATTTGAAGTGGATGAAAAGAATTTTTTGCAGTTGATGGAAAAACTATGTGAATATAAATGTGTCGGTGAAGAGTTGGCACGTAAGGACGATCTATTTTTATTGTTTGTTGGTGCATGTTGTACATGCCCAGTTGAGAATGTGGCATGGCGTAAGGCCGCATCACAACTCCTAGTCACACTCATTTCGAAGGCGTTGACACCGGCTGTCATTAAGTATATTCATGGTTAGTTATCAGTTCTATTATACTATAGTAATAAACAATTGCTAAATATAATAATAATAGTGATTTAACCGGCCGTTATTTTATGGATCAACTGCTCTAAACCAATATCGAGAACTTGAACTGAAGCTGTGGTGAAAGCTGAAGTGTATTTGTTTGATATATTGTTCTAGGTAAACAGTGTATAGCGCATTTTCTCTCAAATATCTCCAATGAAGATGCACACTTGAGCGTGCAAGAACGTGTGGAAATGATCATCTGTTTGTTATGTGTTATCAAGGATTCAGCCTCGTTAACACCGGTCATTCTACAGGACTTTCAGCAGTTCAATGGCTACACTATCCTGAAGCAATTTGTCCTTAAGTATTCTTTTTTGTTATTGTTCAATTTATTGTTGACGTATTATTAATACTGGTATTTCTGTTTTTATCGTTGTTTTCATGAGGAGTATGAAGTTGTTAATATTATTTATTCGTGCATTTTTTTGATTTTCTGAAATGTGGTATGAAGTGCGCTCACTGTGCGCTATTATCATTATCAGTGTTGAGATGACCGAATGATAAGCATAAATTTCAGTTATGAATATGAAGAAGATGGGATTCGTAATGTTTTGCTGATGCTAATGAGTGTTGTAACATCGGGTCTGGTTGAGCTTCGACCGCTATCCTCACCATCACTGGTCGTGCTGCCCTCTTTCACACTTCCTTCGCCTTCGGGCAATGGTCTCTCAGTTCGAAATCTCGACGCTTTCCGTTTACTTTTTCAAATTTTTGTTGAGGTATTTATCTAGCTGCCCATTCATTCATCTATTGATCTCTCAATTAATCACTTTTTTCATATTCATTTTCATTGAATCATTATTATTTTTCAAGCGTTAATGCAGGTCGAGCAAATGAATAAATAATTGACTTTGTTGAATACGTAAATGATTCAGTTCACATCAGTGAATGTACGCTACTAGCAACAACTTATTTGCAACATCCTCTCTAATTTAGAATCGTATGAAAAGATGATTGGATATAATCGGATGGTGTGTTGTTGGCTCTGATTGGATAAAGTTACTAAATCATATGCAATATGTAATGTGGTATTGGTGATGGAAAAGAAAATAGAGAGACCATATTCAGTGGTGTAATGATGAAGAAATTTTTAATTGGTTCATTTTCAGTGTAAAAATGAGCGTATTTGTGAAACAGTGATCGATGTTGTTCACAATATTTATGCATCGGATTCGGCCAATTACTTCATCATCGACAGGGAATGCTCGCTGGCACAGTTTGTTGAGAACATGCACTCAAAAGGAACACAAGTGCAGGTGAATGAATGGAGGGAGAATTTCGGAATCATTTTAAAACAATTGTCTGGAATAATTAAAGATTTGTTCGTTGCAAAAAGTTAGGATGTATCTATGAATGAATGAAAATAAAAAATGTATTTTCAGCGAAAAATTTTGGAATTACTCGAATATGTTGTGTTTCATCTGAATCACGTGCCGTGTAAAGAACTGATTGCATTGAGTGTACTGTTGAAAACGCATACGGCTGCTGGCAATCTTTCGTGTTGTGAACTATCGTTGCAGAGTGCGTTTAGGTTGGTATTTATAGTGTTTGATCATCACTATTCTTGATGTTGCTTTTAGTAGTAGTGCATTAAAACATTCTCAATGTTTGATTTTTCAGAATTTAATTTTGTTTTTTTTTTTGTTGAAAACTTTGATTGCTTTTAAACGTTTAATTTTTACTTTCAAACTTTTAAACGTAAACATCTAAGGTTTTAATTGTTTAAACTTAAATTTTTTTGAGCAGTAAACTTTGTTTTAATTTAATTTTGCTTTTTTAGACTTTGATTAGAAGTTGTTCCAAAAGAGTCTCATTGATTTTCAGAATTCTTTCGGCCAACACGATTCTCAAAGATGCATTCCGTGAAGTGGGTCTTGTCGAGACGTTCACATGGATAATGATTCATTACGTTACACTTCTGAAAGGTGTTATTACTTTTGTTGATCTTTCACTGTTAATAGTCAATACATACATACATACACAATTTATCTTTTTCATGCTTAATTTCTTTTTTGTGCACATTTTAGAGCAAACGTTGTCGGACGAGCAAGCTCGAATTGCGTTGTTGAGCACCGATATTTTAGCACTTTCGATAAGTGGTAACAACAACAATTCCAGTTAGTTCGTTTGTTTATTCGTTTGCAAATGAATTTTTTTTTCATTTTCGGTGATTTGTCCCAAATGTTTTATAAAATTTGAATTCTTGATTTAATGTTGCGAAAAGCACACACCCCGTTGCACCTGGCTCGCAGTCAGTCTGTATTGGTTGGGAAGAGCAGATCGCCGAAACGCATACACGTTTATGTTTCGCAGAAAAGCGATAGATAGAAGGATAAATATATGCAACAGAAAGAAATGCAACAACGATAGATACCGTTCCAAAACAGATCTCATCTGTCGGTTTTTCTTCAATAGTTCGCAGTAACTACTAACTAACTAACCCAAAAATTGTATCTTCTGAAGGAGTTTTTCGTGAAAGTGCTGGTTCAAAACTACTTGTCGATTTAATCTGCATTGATAATGGTGAATGGCGAGCATCTGCTTTGCAGGTAATTTGTTCATTTTTATGACTGTTCACATTATAATAAGAATGTTGGTCATGATAACGATGCTGATCATAGTTTATATTGCTAATAATAATTATAATAATAATAATGATGTTTTCAGTTGATCAAACAGTTGTTGATATTGGCACATAGCGAGGAGCAATTGGCCGCTCTATTAATGATACTTCATGCGCCACCGAACGATAGTTTAGAGTTGAAATCTGTGATATTGAAAGTAAGTGGAAAGAACGTTTTATTCAATGACTCTTCGCATATATTCTAAACTTGTTAATAGAATATCACTTAGTATGTAGGTGATCGTGATCAGAAACGATCAAGTTGAATTGCTGGAAAAACAAAACAAGCTTTTCTTATCTGAATGAGCAATGATCACTGCAAATGATAAAGTCTGTCTATCGTAATATTCATGTAACATTCAGAGCTTATTGTGTGTGCTACGTGAAAGTCACAAGGTACGTGTGATGTTTCGACGTGTTGGCGGATATTTATGCTTAATTTCGTTACTACTTTCGGTTGAAGCGAAACTGCATGAACCATTGCAATGGCATCAGGATAAACCAAAAACACAATCTCAGCAAGCACTTGCAACATCGTCATCTGAATCGCAGCCACAAGTCGACGAATCCATCAGTGCTGTTGCTAACGCGTCAGTGACAAGCGATCAAAAACTCTTCAAACAACAACAACCAACTGCTGCAACGAATGACAACGAGAGTACCATTCGAAGTGATAATATAAAAGGAAAGGAAAATATTTATGAACGAAACGATAATATCGATGATGATGATAATGATAATAATAATAATGGCACTTCTGATGATGACGAAACAAATAAATTGCCTCAAGATTGCTTAGGTTTATTGGAATTTATGCATATTATCTTCAAAGTGTTAACAATAAGTATGCGCTATGAGCCATCCAATGCAAAGTATTTCTCATCAGAGGTCTGTTTGTTCTTTTTTGATTTGTTTTTATTTTGTTTGTTTTTCGTAACAGTTCGTTGCCTTTCAATTGTGCAGCCAAATTGATTAAATGTGTGCGTGTTTGTATTTTTACAATCCTATTATTCTATGCATTGTTATTAAGCGTATTAATTAATAAATAAACGTAAAATGTCAAACGTATATTTTATAAACGTAGATAAAGTTTTTAAAACATAAATAAACGTATTCTGATTCAGGTGAAATGGGATAATTTATGTATAGCGTTACGCGCTAGTGGCGCGTTTGATGATTGGTCAGATTGTGTGCAAAGTGCTTCATTAACAGATGAGGAGGATATATGGCGGTCGGATGCGAGCACATTGAGAAGTCGTATTGCGGCGTGTCATCGAGTGTTTCAACATTGCGAACAAATTCACTCGTGGTTTGTGTTCGGCTTGTTGTTGTTGTTGTTATGTGACTTGATGCGCTGTTTGATTTGATCAATTTCAGTACGCGACCAGCTCGTATGCCAGCATCAGTGTTTTTCGCTTGTTGCATTCTACGATTCTTGTTCAATATGGCTCTTGACAACTATGAGAAGTTCGTTTTTTATTATTCAATCAAATGCATTTGATTTCGATGAGCTGAACAAAACGCAATCCGTTTCATGAATGCGTGAAAATAAGTTATCGTTGTTTCGGTTTGGTCTATTAATTATAATAATATTAATGTTAACAGATATGATAATAATAATAATAATAGTAAGAGGAATAATAATAATAATAATGATAATAGTAAGAGGAATAATAATAATAATAATAGCGATCGTAATCATAATAATTTGTTATTTGTCTCATTTATAGGCCGAATGGAGATGTGGTTTGGTCGGGTGAGGAAAATTTGTTGGCGTTGGACGATTCAACTGCATCAATCGTCTCATGGACTTCAAGCGTTTTGGTACATCCTGGTGCTCTATTGGCTATTCTTCACCTCCTTCCAGCCATCTATGCTGACGATATTAAGGTGATCGTTCTATTCGTCTTGTTGTTTGTTCACTTTTACATCTCTTGCTGAGCGTTTGAATATGGCAAAAATTCAGCGTGTTGTTTTATTTACTTTCTGCTTTTTTAACTTCTATTATTTTTCAAGTGATTTCGTGTGAAAACTGAGACGTATTCATAGTGAATATAAGTGCAAGTTGGCATAGTTCAAACGAATTTAGTTAGGTTGTTTGTTGTGCAGAAGGATATGGAAAATGAAAGATGCGCTTTTAGTGGAAAGGTGCAGCACAGTTATATACAGCACTAATAATAAAAGCTCTACTACGACCTGAACGAAATCAGCAAATCATGTGCCAAGCGAATATGGCAAGAAGTATACTGAAAGTTGGACGAAATGTTTTCAAGGCTGAAAAGCATCTACTTTTAGCGCCATTTTACTATGTTTTCGAACGGCTTTCATCACATGCGATCACACCAACTGATCTCAGGTGGGCATAATTTCTATTATTAGCATGTTAATGTGAGAAAGTATTCTCAGTGAAGTTTCAAAATTGTCTCAATACAACGAATAGTTTATATCAACCAACCAACCAACAAGTGTTGCTTAAAGCATCAGTGAAAAATTATTTGGAATGTGAGTAAGGTAGATGATTTTTGGATGAATGGATTTATAGGTATATGTTGAATATATGTGATGATTCGCAGCAAGATCAGCGATCTGAATGTGACGAAAAAGTAGGAATAAGTAGGGGTGTTATATTGGTTTTGTGATGTGTTCTGTATTGAATTTCTATCATTTGAGTTGTTCATTTCATTTGAAGGCATTTTCTGCGACTTGATATGCCGCTGTGCTGTCGCAATTTGGAAGAGACAGAGGGTGAAGAGGCCATACGCGATTCTGAAGGAGGGCCAGTACCGATTGGAAGGTTGGTTGATTGCTTCTTGAGGTCTCCTTTGAAAACACATCTCATCACATTTATGTTCCCAATAAAGACGCACTCCCTTTACTCTTTGTTTTCGGTAATCAGCGTATTTCTAGCAATTGTTATAGAACAGTTATAATGAAGTAGAATTTGGCCTAATCGTTTTTCAAATTCATTCAAAAAAATGAACGAAAACGACATTTATTGGTTTATATTTGAAGAGTAAAAGCGTTGGTGTCAATGATGAC